ACGGTACTTTGTGTTTCTGCCTGTTTGGTCATCTTCGGTCCATCCTCAGCCATTTTCGATGACCAGCGCCATTGTGGCACGGGCGCCCAGGGCCCTTGCATCCTTATCGTGCATCCTTTCTATAGATTATGATTGTAGTTTGCCCCTCACCATCAGCGCGGCTCGAGCCATGTCTTTCAGCGTCCAGTGGCCGAGCCAACTAGCTAGCAGACTGTGCTTGAAGAGGGCCCCACTCGGGCAAACGCAGCCACCGCATCGAAGAGTGAGGATAAATATCGTTACTCTCCTTAGTCAGACCTCCTTAGTGCTGACCAGCACGTGAGGGATCGAAGACAGTGGGGCGTCGCCTAACGGGGGGGGCACATCGGGGGGGGCAGCGAGGGCTGCAATGAAAAGGCCCTTGAGGGCCCCTGGAGGAGCCCTCGCCCAAAAGGGGGCCATTGGGCCCCGAACAGTGCACTGGTTTTCCTCCACATTGATCGCCCCGCATTAATCGTCGCCCAATACAGGCGCATCATCATCGATTCGTGCAGTCGTCGTTGTACACTTTTTCAGGGGTGCGTGGGTGGGCCCGGTCCGCTCGTGAGCACGGGCGCCCGCTGCGTGGGGGCCTCCAGCGAGGTGAGCTCCGAGGAGCAGTCGCGGGCACCCCTCGCGGGACGGAGAAGAGGAAGGAGGGCCCCATCCTCCCTTCCTCCCCTCCCTCCCTCCCCGTCCCTCCCTCCCTCCCTCCCTCCTCATTCCTCCCCTCACTCCCTCATCATCCCTCCCTCCCTCCCTCCCTCCCTCCCTCCCCTCCCTCGCCGCTGCTACCAGGGCTCCCTCAGTGATCCTGGTGGCTCTGGAGGAGTTTTTAGCTCCGATCCCCGTCGCCGACGTGTTGGCGCGGCCGCAGGGTGGCCTCGGATCATAGCGCATGGTCTCGCCTTAAGGGCTGGGCTTCTACTTTGACCAGCCGACGCCAGGGGGTGCTGAGGGCCGAGATGCTGGCCTTTGAGCTAGCCCTTCGCAGCATCCCAGGCCACTTCGAGTATGTCACTGACAAGAAGCCCCCGTTGGAAGGTTGGCGCCGCCGACGTCATATTCATTTCGAAGGTGACAATTCCGATTTCTGGTTTCGAATCCGTTTAGTTGTTAAGGGCCGCGAGGATGGGACTGTGTTGACACGGACCCCTTCCCATGCTGATCCCCTTGGCCCTTCCCTTTCGGAGGATGGGGCTCTCCTCGCGGCTGGCAGCGATGTAGCTGATCAGCTCGCGTCCCAGGCTGCCCAGGAATCGCGGGATCTTCCCACCAGGCGCCAGCGCGTGCCTGACACTGACCGTTGGGGCGCCACTGGTTTTGTTTGATCCGCCAGCGAGCCGCCCAGACGCTGGCGGAATCCATCCGTTTGGCCCCTTGGACAGCGGATTGGCCAACGTCGGGCCGTCCGAGAATTACTAAGCTTCAGTCTGCTCTCGTACGCAGCTCGCACTGCTTACTTAAGACTGGCCGAAAGTGGATTTGTTCGTTTTGTTCGAGGATCGTCTCGTCGGCTAGAGTGCTGGAGGCGAGTGACCAGCCCTGCCCAGCCATTGATGTCGGCTCAGCTCAGGATGCGTTCGGCGATGGGATCGTTCGGACGAGTGGGGCGGTTCGACGTGACCAGGCGCGTCGGATGGTTGCAGGTGCCCTGTAGGGTCGTCGGACAGGTGGACTGTGGCGCGCAGCACACTCCAGGACACTCCCGCCCTCCCTGGCTCCCCTCTCTCCCTCCTGTTTCTGCCTCCCTCCCCTCCCTCCCTCATCTGTTTCCCTTCACAACTACACAATATGAATACTACTCTCCTCTCTCCTCTGATGACGTCCGGAAGATATTCTGCCCCCTCTCCGCGTGTTTTTTTTTAGGTTAAACGTTGGAGTCCTGGGAATCGGGCTTTCGTTGTGGGTCTTTTCCAAAATGTTGCTCTCGCTGACGCGCTGGCCTCATCTTCGGGCTTCCGCTCGTTCCGAATCGTGTTCCCGCTGCAGCACTGGCTTCATTTCCGCGCTTCGGCTCGTTCCAAATCGTGTTCCCGCTGCAGCGTGGGCCTCGTTTCTGCGCTTTCGCTCGTTCCGAATCGTGCTCCTGCTGCAGCTCTGGCGTCATGATTTCCAGTGCCATGCCACTGCTTGGTTTTCGGTCTTTCCAAACAAGCCCCCAAATCTAGAAAATTGCCTTGCGAAAAAAAACATCGGAAATGATTCCACACTCGGTGCCGATTCGTTGAGTTATTGGGGCGCAGAAGCCCTCCCCCACTTTGAAGGGTCGCCACGCCATGCTATGTCGTGCTACGCGTTGATATTCAACACCATGCTATGACATGTGATGCTGCGCCATGCCACGACATCCGATTGTGCGAACAGAGAGGATAACTGCGCGATGGTAAGGGATGGGAAGGAGGGCCAGGACGTCGGATATGACGCAAGCGCACTTAGCTTGCCTCCCTCCCCTCCCTCCCCTCCCTTTTCTCCGTCCCCTCCATCCCCTCCATCCCTCCCTCCTTCCTTCTCGTCACTCCCCTCCTCCCTCCCTCCTCCCTCCCTCCCTCCCTCCATTCCTCTCTCGTTTCTCCCTCCATCCATCCTCATCCCTCCCTTCCTCCTCCCTTCCTCCCTCCCTCCTCCCTTCCTCCCTCCCTCCCCCGCCAGTCGCGGGGATGGCGCCCCCACTGGCTCTCTGGGGGCCGCCCAGAGGGGGACCGTCCACAGTCCAGTGCGCCCCGGGCAAGCCTCGTCTAGAGGCAGGCCCTGGGATGCGACGCGGGCCGAAGGCTGCCCGCGCCCTCTGCGGGGGGAGCAGGAGGAGGGGAGCAGCAGGGGCGGCCGGGAGGGGAAGGGGAAAGGGCCGGGGGGCGGGGGCCGTCGCGGTGGGCGGGCGGGCACCCAAGGTGGCCGCGGAAGCCGTGGTCGTGGTGGTCGAGCCGGTAGTGGTCGAGCTGCTGGTCGTCGTGGTGGTCGTGGTGGCCGTGGTGGTCGTAGTGGTCGTGGTTTTAGTGCTGACGGCCGGCCTGGTGGTGGCCGTGATGCTCGCGGTGATCGTGGTGGTCATTGGTGGTCGTGGTGGTCGTGGTGGTCGTGGCCGTGGCGGTCCAGGCGGCCCAGCTGGTGGTGGTCGTGGTGGTCGTGGTGGTCGTGGCGGTCGTGGTGGCCGTGGTGGTCGTAGTGCTGGTGGGTCATTTAGCACGCACTGAGAATCATCTCGGCGTTGCCCACAACCAACGTGCGCTGGATGCGGCGCCACGCGGTGGCGATGACCGCTGACCGCTCTGCTTCAGGCAAATCTTTTCCGTACGAGCGGACAAATGAGACGAGCTCATCCGCCGGCCGCCCGCCCGTCTCCAGGACAGCTGGGACCAGCTCGCCGCCCGAGGGGGGGTAGCGGTGTCGTTTGACGCCCACCGCCTGCGACGCGGCCAGCCCGTCATTGTTGGATCTTGCCCACCTGCGCTCGAGGTTGTTAGAGTGTGCGCAGGTGACAGACCAGTCAACATAGATAGGCTGTCCAGTGGTCGCGTCGCGGGTAGTCACGTCGAGGCGGGCTTCTTCCAGCTCCCCGGTGACTGGGTCCACACGGTCCCACGCAGGGACACGCTTCTCGGTGACCGCCATGTGGCCCGTCTGCGCCTGGTGGAAGGGCGCACTCCAGTCTCGGAGGCTGTTGTGGCGGTGGTCGCGAGAGCCTCCGCAGCCTCATTTCAAGGGGTGCCAGCCCTTGGGGCCCAGGGGCGCACCACATATCGTGCCGTCTCGCTTGCGGTGCTGGCAAGCCGCCCCTGGCGTGCTGACGTCAGCTCGGAGGCGCTTGCGCAGGCCCACGTGGAAGTGGGCCTCAGGGATCGGCGCGTCCCCTTCCTGGCGCGGGAGAAGCCAACTCCCCGCCGAGGTCCCGCTGCTCTCGCGGAGGGCGAGCCAGTCGTCTTCGCCAAGGGTTTGCAGCAACTGTCTCCGCCTGTGCT